TTTCCGGTAATAAATGCGGAAGCATCATGCAGAAATCGTATGAGATAAAAGTATACCAAAGGCAGCACCAAGCTTGTTATGGAAGGAGCAGGCATTCCTGTCAGGAATCCAGGACAACCTTAATCTCTCAGCTACCATACTTCCACCAATGATAAAGTTCCTAGTACTGGTGAATGCCGAGAGTAACCAAGAATCCCCTGCTCCAACAAGTTCAGTTTAATCAATCCTTCAATGGATCACATCTGCCAACTTCATCTACCTACCTGAGCAGGTCCCACCAGGATATCGACATCTACAACAATCATTCACTCGGACCTGCCAACAATTATATTGATCAATCGTTTCACAAAGAAGTGAATGCCTCGGCTCAAGTTAGTTAGCGATGCTGAAGAACTCAAAAGAATCCAGAAGAGAACCGACTTAGTGTGGCCACCAGCAGCTACACAGAATCCAAGCCCTCTAACAACACTGCTACTGAAAATAAAAGAAAGCGAACGGCAACATCTCCTACCAGTCATCTCTAAGTCCTCCCAGTCATTGGTACACTCTCCCAGTCATCCGTACTACCTTTCAGCTATCAGTAACACTTTTCATCCATCGGTTTCATCTCCCCATCATTTAAATCACTTCCTCATCATTGGTACATCCTTCTAGTCATTGGTACCTCCTACTATTCATAATTTCTACCTCCTGGTCATTGGTACCTCTTCCTAGTCATCGGTATCACCTCTACCTCATCAGAATCACTTTGCAGCCATCGCTTTCTCCTTCTAGTCATTTGATTACTAATCCAAGTCATTTTTGCCACCTCCTAGCCATCAGTAACTCTTCCCATTCAAGTCATCTGAATCAACTCCCCATGATCAGAAGCACCTCACAGTGATTGGTAACAGCTCATACTTATCGATTGCAGCTCCTTTTCATCAGTACTACATCAAAGTTATCAGTCTTCCCTCACAGTCAATGTCAGCCCTCTTTGAACAATACCACAACCACTACATCCTCAGTTCTTTGTAACTAGATTGGTCCATTAAATATTACTTGCTCTAGGAAACAGTGAACCTCTTCATGATCATAGTCTTACTTGAAGTTGAACCAAAGCTAACCCTCCATATTGCAACTGAACAATCAACAACATGTTGCTTTGAGGAAGCTGGTAAAATGTATTTACCTGAAGCCCAAATTAAAACTAAAGCATCAAAGAATAATCACAGATCAGCAAGACCACAAAAAGTATATAGAAAAAGAACAAATTACACACATAAACTACAACAAGTGAGGAGGTACTGCACAGCATTAAATTGGTATGTGGATCAATTGAGTCAAACCTCTTGTTCTATGTCTCTATATTTTAAATTTAAAACTTGTTTGATTATCAATAAGCTTGTAGAAACCTCGAAAGAATAATTCAAGATTGATGGTCAAGAATGACTCTTGAGGTTATATTTTAGAATCCCTGAACTGGGCAATTCAGTTATATCCAAGGATCCCTGAACTTAAAAGCTAAGTTATATTCAAAGAAATCCCTGAACCTGAGGAAACATTTTAAATCATAAATCTAGTTTAATTAAGATAGGTAGCAAGTAGGAATTATAATAGTTTCAGATTGACTACAAATCCTTAGCATCCTTTTACATTATCAAAAAAATGAGTAGAGAAACTGATCACCCTGTACATAAAATGAATAATGAATGTTCAATATGGAGCAAAAATTTATTCTAGTTCTTCAATACTTGATCCTTTTTTTTCTGCTTATCTATGAAAATTATGTGATGTGAGTCAGAGACTCATCTTAGGGGTAGGGAATGTCAGCTTGCTACTATAGCAGAGACAACCTGTCATAGTACACAAACATAATATAAAATACAAAAAGACATTATTACTCACCAGAGATGTTTTTAGTACTGAAAATAAATGAGAAGATCAAATAATAAGGGCATTATTTCTCAATATTCTTAATCTATATGGAGAATAACCTAGGGTACCTCACTCAAAGGTACCCTATATTTCAGCTACTTCATGTGGCAAATCTACATTAAAGACATAGGGTGTACCTCCAAGCAGGAAATGAAATATGCTTATGTTTATAATTAAATATGCTAATAAACAGGTTTAAGACTTGAAACTGATTTGCTGTTTCAAACATGCATTTGTATATTGATAACACGTGTGTGGCACATTTCCAAGGAAATAGCCACATGTTTCAGCTTTCATCTTCTACAGAACACCTGTGGCACATTTCCAGGGATATTGTCACATGTTTCAGCCTCCATGCATGAAGCACCCACAAGTTGACCCTTATCTCCCAGATGCCTCCACGGGTATATAAAGAGCCCTCTGTCCCCCCAAATAAGGATTCCTCAGATTATTACAACCCACTTTAGATTACCCACTGTCCCAAATGCTTAACATTTGTATCTGTCTGGTAATGTATTGTCTCTTGCTTTAATTCTCTGTCTATCAGAACCTCAAGACTTAAGGGGCTTTATTAGTACATAATGCCCCCTTCTTTCTTGAGATCTTACTACTTTCTTCTGGGATTTAAACCACCCCTGTTAAACAGGCCCCAGTGTTAACAGGTACCTAAATCCTCTGCTTTTGCACAATACCTTAGAGGGAACTAAACCACCCCTGATTCATCAGGCCCCTCTGTTTAAATTATATCAATATTTATTGATATAATTATTCATTTCTACTATCTCATAACCTTGTAATTACCACTCATTGTTGGAATTACACACCGGACTCTTTAGTCCCAGAGTTCAAACTCTATTATCTTAAGTCTTTGCACCACGTGTAGCTAGAAGGGACAATGGAAGAGCAAGCTTTTTGCAGGACTTGTGGATGTTCAACATGTGAACAGCTGCATCATGGCGGCAGCAGCATCCCATTAATCCTGTATTGTTGCACCTTTTCCAAGTGGATTGGTTCCTTTTATCGTTTGCCGCCTTGTGTGATTCCATAAATTTGTCCATTTCTTCCTCCACCTCGTGTGCATTTATTTTGTTGAACATCTGGTCCAGCTTGCTGGGTGGGATAAAGATCCTTGGAGATTCAAGTTTTACATAGTTATGGCTAGCCTTGGTATGATGACAAATTACAATGTTGGAAATTGCCATCAAGGCAGACAATCAGGCAATTTTGAGTGGCCTCAGGATACTCATCTGAGTTTTCTGGCTCTGGTCCAAAACAAGCTGGACAAGATGTACAAGCTAGGATTTGATTCTTCATTTTCATAACTGTAAATACAAGCTGAGAAAGGTTTTTGCACATCCCAAGCCTACATGGTTCAGAGTCCACATTCAATCAACTTATAGAATTGTATGCTGTAGTAAAAAGGACCCATGAGACTCACATGGTTTTTATTTTTGGCAAACAGCCTTTGAGATTGTGGTTCAAGCCATTCTGTGAGTGCCAATGTGAAAGGTAGAGTTCCTACATGGCAGTTGTTCCAAAGATGATTGTGGAAAATCAATAGGGGTAAGGAAAATGCAGTTTGTGGTCTTACTGGAGATCCAGCCACATAACCTTGCTGCAAAAGGCGGATGACATCAGGAGTGCAAGGGCAGAAAGCTACATCTGACTGCTTTTGACCTGATGTTTTTAGAAGAATCAGCTCTGGATACCCTCAGCCACATTAAGAAGGAAGAAAATCAAGTTGCTTATCTCACCATAGATTTCAATCAAGTCAACTTTGTGATTTGATTGATTGACACAAGAACATTTGACAAACGATTCATAAGCATTTTCGCAAGCCCAGTTATCCGTCTTCAGCTTCTGTATCATGTAAACAGAATGCAAGAGTTGAAAAACTTGATTCCAGTTGAATTCTTTGCTTGCTGAACATATCAAGCATAACTGGCTTGAATTTTGGCATCAATCTTGTTGGGTGGCTTGTCATCAAGTCTGAGCCATTGGGGAAGGCCTTCCATGTCTTCCTCTTTGTCAGATATTTTTTCTTCATTCAAGGCGGTTGCATTGTACCGATTGTTAAGAAAATCACTGTCTGGGTATCCTTCTTGTTCTCCTTGTTCAGGCTGAATTGCCTCTTGTTGTGATTCATTCATCCTTCAAAGTTCTTCATTATAACTTTGATTGTTAACTTTGCGTCTAAAGTGTTGTGTTTGGGTTCCTTGACAAGCACCAACAATACACTGGAATTTGACCATGACCAGTGAGACCTTGCAATTACGGTTGGATGATTGACCAATGGGAAAATTTGGCAAAACTTGATGGGTTTAATTGGCAGCAAGAGTGGTTGATGGAGTCAAAAAGCTTGATAGGAGCAACAATGCTTGACAGCCCAAGGAGATCTAAGACCGGTTGTTGTATTCGTGAGCGCTGTGTTGTAGTTAGAGCCGAGCAGGTGTGATGACGGGATGTGTGAGTGAGGTGTGATGTTGGGTAATGTGAGGTTAAACCGGCCGGTCAATAGTCGGTGGAAGGCGGGGTGGTGGATGCGCCAGTGAGTTGAGGGTCTTGGTGAATTTTAGCTGAGAAGGGGCTATGCCCACGGGTTGAGGGACTTGGACGAGTTTTGGTCGGACCGAAAACCAAAGCTTGGAAACCTTTGAAAGCTCCAAAAGCTCGGAGCTTTTTGGTGGTAAAGGGGTACCAGGAAAGCCCCTATAGAACACAGTAACCAAAATGTATGAATTTTTGGTCAAAAACCAAGAAAGGTACTCACCCCAAATGTATGAATTGCTGTTTTTGCCCAGAAAGGTACTCACCTCAAATGTATGGATTTTTCCCCAAAGAAGGGGAGGTAGTAACCAAAGGTGTATGAGAGTCACAAAGGTTTTGGCCACAATGCTCCCCAAGGCCCCCCTTCTAACTTGAAATCCAAGGCCCAATGCTTTGAAGGGCTGATGTGTAGTTCAGAGGGACTGTTTGCACCAGCAACTAGACCCCTTGAAGTGAGGACTGGTGTATGGTTAGCTTCTCCCCCTTTTTTACCTCTTTTACCCCTCCCCCTCCCCTCCCCCCTGTGCAGAAGGTACACACCAAAAATGTATGAATTTTCATGGAAAGTGCAGAACCTACGCACGAAATGTGTATGAATGGCCTCAAAAAATGTATGAATTTTTCAAAAATCCTGGTTTTTTGGTTACTGTGTTCTATAGGGGCTTTCCTGGGTCCTGGTACATACCATGCGCGTACTAAGGTACGCACTCTCACACTGTCTACAGTGTATGGGTTAGTAGAACCCACAGGTGGTCCAATGAGCCATCGGGCCGGCCTGTCCGAGCGGTTCTCGGATCTGTGTCAGCTGTCCGAGCAGATGTCCCCGCTTATCAACTGCTCGGACAAGCCCGTCCGACCTCTTGTCGGATGACCAGGTCCGAGAACTGCTGGGACAGGCCGGCCCGATGACTCATCGTACTGGCTTGTCCAAGCAATTGATCCAGACAGTGTCCCCTAGCTAGTCCCCTCGTTTCAGAGGGCCAGGTGTTAAGCTAGCCAGTAGATATGTTCTCACCTTATGGGTTTGATACGATTCCTGGGTCCCATCTTTAACAAAATTGGCTGGGTGAGAAAAATCATTTCCAACAATGCAACGCTATTTCGAAACTACTGGATGACTTCCCGTCGCGGTTTACAACCCTCCCAGAATTTGATTTACACCCCCAAGATCTTAATTTTTGATATAAAAAAATATTTTTTCATAAGCCTTGGGAAGATAGCTCTCATGTGAGCTGGTTGGAATTATGATTGAGGTGTAAATTTAGGACTGGGGAGGGCTTAAAAAGCACTCTAAATGGCGACGGGAAGTCCTCCACTCTACTGTAAAAACAGGAAGGAGATAAATCTGAGTGCTAATTATTGATCTGGTCTGCGGGTTCATGTCGGGTCTTTAGCTGCTTGACCAAACTTGACTCAGCTCCGCCAGTCGGTCGCCACAGTCTACGTGGCGAGTGCTCGTCGAAACAAATCTGAAGCTCAGCGGCAGATCTTTCAACCAAATTCTTCAAATACTGTAGATATGGCTTGCTTCTTAAGTACCGCCTGAATGTGACGCCGTCAAAACGTCAGTATGTCCTCTGACCATCGCACATGTCGCAAGTTTTCAGCTGTTACTCCCGCGAGCGAGTCACCTTCTGAAGCAGATTCATGAATAATCGCTCATTAAGCAACAAATGTGCTACATAACAGGCGCAGATGCATGATAGGGCACGCGGAAGAATGATTTGATCGCGAAGGATCGAGTGTATGAGGCATCTCTCCTGTGATTATCAGGATCCACACTGTCGGCAGCAGCTTCCCGGGAACGGCGGCCGGAGCAGTGACCGGACAAGTTTGGATGAGATCTAACAACACAAGAGAATTTTGACATCCTAGAATGATGATGTGGCAGAAGCGAAAGTTTGGTTTCCATTTCCTTGTAACAGTAAAGCCTTCTCTCCGAACAACCAACCCATTAACCGTTGGTAAAACTACAGGTGCAACTGGTGGAGCACGGTGCAGCATTCTTATCAACATAGTTGCTTGTTAGGTCACATAATTATGTATGCTCAAATTGACACACAATCACTTTCAATCACTATGAAACAAGTAGACTTGAAATGAAACGACTCCCGAGAGTCCCTAGACTTCACCGCTTCTCATGTATTTCTTTGATCACTCGGTTTGGTTATTATACATATATTTCTAGGATTAGCTGTATTGTCCTCAGTGTGCCAGGAACCGCAGCTTACCCCAGCATTGTTAAATGGCCGGTCTCCATGCTCCAACACAGAAGGTGTCGTCTGTCTAGCAGTCCTCTCAAGCTACCTTTGAGGTTTATCTTTGTTTGAATATTCTCTTCCACCCTACTCGCTGCTGTGGACTCATCAGCTTGCCAATTAGCAGAATATGCACCAACCATTGCATCAGAACATGATGAAAATGTTCATCTTTTACATTGGGATCAGCCACCTCATCGAGAAACCCATACCGCAAGTTTTAGGAAGTCCTATGCAAACCACAATGAGGCACACTTCGCCGTTAGTTCCACACGATGTCACTTCGCCGTTAGTTCCACACGATGTCAACGGTCAAGCTATCATTCCCAAACGGCTTCCCGGCGCCGAGTCACTCGAGCTTGTTCGTGTCGATCGTGGAAAGCTGGTATTCCCTGGAAATCTAGTGGACTGCGACATGGCATGGTATGGACCTCCCAAGAGAGTTACAAAGCCATATGCACCTATTAAGCAAGCCAAAAGCAAACCCCTTTCGGCAGCGGCGCCCGCATTCCATCCCGCACCCAAAACATCGTCTGCCGGCCTTTTGGGTCCTCATCCGAGGAACCCAGAAACCATGGAAAAACTTCGGATTGAAGGGAGCCAATACTACCGGTCAAGGGGGACCCCGAATGTTTTTGCAGGAGCTAATACTCGAGGATACAACCAACCACGCAAGAACATGGTACGATATATACAAAAAAACAAAATGCCGGCTCAAGAAATAGTTAGAAAACCTGTTGTAAAGGATCCCAAGGCTGAGAAGTCATCCTCTTCCGGTGAATTACCGAGCCCACTAGTAAGTCGATCCGAAAATTTGAATCCTGTCCTGGATACTAAAGAAATCTCCTATAACACAGGGAGACCCCGTTCATTCAACTGGAATGATGAATACAAATAGGGCAATAGGGATTTTAAACAGGGAAGAGCCAACTAAAACAAATCTCCCTGAGAATTCTGACCCAGGAATGAGGTAAAAAATTTTTTACGGTTAGACTAAATATGAATCTCATCTTTCTGACATTTTTTTCATTTTCTTAGTCTCAATTCATCAATAAAAGGAATTGCTAGTCCTTTTCCAGCTCAGTCTCTGCAAGAGGAGATTAAGACTGTCCTGAAAATTCCAGCAATCAACTATTCTAGTTCTCTGCAAGGGGAGATCAAGACTCAGGGGAAAATTCCAGCAATTGACTCTTCTAGTGGTACAGCAAGTGCTTCCCAACATAACAATGTCAAGTGTGACAGCACCAATCAGGTAGATCACACCCTCCAGGATCCCAAAACCTCTGAAATAATCCCAACCAAAAAAAATACCAGTGATAAATTGTTACAACTTCCTGATAATACAAGCTCCACTGTAACTGCTACACCTTCAACAGTCAAAAGTTCTGTAGGGAAAACAGTTGATCCACAGCAACAGAAAACTTGGGCAAACGTGGTCATTGGTACTGAGAGTAAGCATAGATCAAACACTGAGATTTTACTTCCAGGAAATCCCAAAGAAGCAACAGACATTTCTTCCCAGAAAAATCTCAGTGGATCAGAAGACCTTCTTTCCAAAGGTCAAACTACCAACTCAATGCCATTAAAGGTTGGACCAATGAGTACTGAACTTGATGATGGGTGGCAAGCAGTTCATGGGAAAAAATCAGCCAAGAGAAAGCAATTTCTAACAGAGAATCTCACAAAGGAAGAGATTGTTGACCCTCTCCTCTCAAGAACGTCCAAGGAGCTAGAAAAAGGAAACAAACAAAAGGCTGATCAAACCAACCAAGAAAATGAAATCTTGAATACTGGGATTCAAAAAGAATCAGACCAAAAGTTGAAGTCTTTGGGTAGTTTGAAAGAGAAGCTCAGTAGTGATGAAGTCAAACATACAGAAATGGAGACACCTGTCATGTAAGTTTTTTTCTAATTTCCAGCTTCTGATTTGTATTTTCCAAATGGAATCACAAGAAGAATCTAAATTTCCTGGGGTGTTGATTGTAACATCAGAATCAAAGGTTCCAGCTTGACAGAAAGTAACAAGGCGCAAGGCAAAACGTGAGTTTATTTCTGTCAAATTTAACTGCAATCAATTCAGCTGAAACAAAAACTATCTCTTCAAAAAAACAGCAAACCAAGGAAGAATTCAGTTGAAGAAACTCAGCTGATGAGGAACCTTTCAATGCTTGATCTCTTGGTACCACCACAAAGTGGATCAAAAAAAGGAAAAAAGAAACCAAAAGAAAAGTAAGTCTGTATAAGTGGTGCCTCTGCTCATGATCTGGCTAACAAAATGGTAATTTTCTGCTTAAATGAATGAAAAAATATCACAGAAAGATGGTTGCAATGAAAGCCATCCTTCCTCAGGACAATTCAAAGTTAACTAGGGAGGGGTTAAGCTTTTCCAGAATGAATCAGGAAGATGATAATATGAAAGAACCACTTTCAAAAAACCAATTACTAATCAGCTCAGAACAAACTCCGGCAGAAAATTATGTGGGTGAACAAATTCAAAAGGAAAAATATGAAAATAAACCCGGCAGTCCTGAGGAAAATTCAGATAGAAACAATGATGGTTCCAACTCTCCCAAAATCAATCAGGAACCTTCTGAACCCAATGATGGATGGAAATCAGTTCATGGAAAGAAATCAGCCAATGTAAAGCAACTACCAACTGATAATTTCCCAATCAATCAAATTGATGAAGCTCTACCATCCAACAAATCAAAAGAAACAGAAGAGGGCCATGAGTTAAATGAACGAGGAGATGAACAAAAAGGTAATCAAATTAATCCAGAAAATCAAATATCAAATGCTGGGATTGAAAAAAAATCATCCAAAAAAGCAAAGTCTTCAGGTGGCTCTCAAGAGAAGCTTAGTATTGATGAGGGAAAACAAACAGAATTGGAGACACCTTCCATGTAAGTTACATAAACTCCCAATTCACATATGTGTTTCAAAAAAGCACTAACAAGATTAAAAATTTGATTTTCCTGGGGGCTGATTAAACCCTTAGAGTAAAAACTTCAAGCTTGAAAGGAAGTAAAAATTCAAAAGACAAAAAGTAAGAATTTTCATGTAAAAAATATCTGCAATCAACAATTCAACTGAAATACTGTTATGTACAATTTGGAAAAAAATCATGTCAAAACTGTTTAGAAAAGGCAAGAAAGAATCAGCTGAAGAAGATCAGCTTATGGAGAGATTTGGAATGCTGGATTTCTTGCCAGCAACACAAATTGAAGCAAAAAAAGGAAAAAGGAAATCAAAAGAAAAGTAAGTGAGGTTATTTAGAGCCTCTGACCATTCTATGGCTAATTAATTGGTCATCTTATTTTTGAAATATGTCAAAAAAACATCCATAGAAACAAAGAGGGCAATAAAACCAGCAATTCTGAGGACTTGTCAAAGTTGGGTAAGGATAGCCCAAAATCTTCTGAGGAGGATAATATGGTGGAACAATTAATGTCAAGCAATCAGTCACTTATTGGATCAGACCAAACTACTTCAGAAAAGTCTGTTGTTCAGATTTTTGAAGAGATTTTCTCCCACCCCAAAAATGCTGAGTTCAATCGTGAGATCAATGAAATCTGGAAAGCTTATCAAGCTCCCTCAACCTCAGCCAATGAGCCAGGTCAAGTGGTACATTTTGCCCGATTTGAAAAATACAAGACTCTTTGGAAGAACAACAACCTTGATATAAATCTTATGAATCATGTTTCAAATTTATTGAAGGTGGATGAGAAGAAGAATTACATTGGAATTGGAAAATTGGATTCTAATACTTTTCAAATGATAGTCTCAACTGTGAATAATGATCCACACCTGATGCAAAAAATTTACAAGTTTTTAGAAATCAATCTTGGTCAAAATGAAGCTTTCAGAAGAATGGTAGCACTATCAAAGCAACTAGTCCAAATCAATATGCCACCACTGAAAGATGCATTGGAAAAATGGGATCCAGAACATGAAGGATATTTATTTGAGAATGCAAAAGTAGCAGAATTTCAAGATATCTTTGATATATTTGGTGATTATGGGATCTTGAAAGGTAAAGATGACTTGAAGAATGAACTAGAAAAAAAGGAAGATGACAGGTACTATGTTGAAAATAAGAAACATGAATTGTATCTGGATGTTTTTGGAGAAAATGAATTTGTATCAAGGAGTCCACCAACCATTCACTTCCACAGAAAATATTATGGCTTGATAGAGAACAGCAACTACAGGAACATCATCAAATCTGAAAATTTTCTCTCATCACTGGAATCAAAGGGTATCAGCATGAACAGAATCTTAACAGTCATAATAATTCTTGGCCTAGAAAATGATAATTGGCTTGGCTCAATTGCAGATGTCCAGGTAGTACATTACCTTTCTAAAGTACTCTTCAAGGTGCTATTGTCCAACAAATACAATCATCTTCCTTGGAATGAAACTGCTGAAAGAACCTGGTTGATTGAGAATTATAAGGAAAAATATCTGCTTAGTTTCACCAAATTGATATCTAGATTAGAAAGGATTCCTGAAGCTTCTCTCAAGAATGTGGATCAAGCAATTTACAGGAAACCAGGCAGAAGTGTGATTGAAAAACTCAAAAAATCTCCAACCAAAGAAAAGATAAATTCAGTACTCAAGTCTTTAAAATATGTCAAACTTCAAACTGATGATGAAGAGATCTTGAAAGTAGAGAGTTTCAAACCAAGAATCCTATCTCATAGATTGAAATTTTTTGAACCTGAATCAAAGAAAAATAAGCCTTATTGAAAGAATATATGTCCATGAAGATCACTTCCATGATAATTGGTCAGGTTGATGATATCTCAGTTAAATACTGGTAGTGCATGAATTTCAAGAGTTTGAAAATTTGTTCATTAATTTCTACCAATTCTTTCCCAATATTTGTGAATTTCCTTCCAAAATTTTTTTCTTCACTTCATTTATCTCAATCCACAGGTACAAACCAACTATACCAAATATCTCATCTTTTCACAAATGCTTGAATCCAAAGGCAAAAAACAGCCCAACTTTTTTATTTGCCAATCAACTAATTAACCTTATATCAAGAATGAAAATAAACCTCAAGGTGAAATCATCTCTATGCCCATGGAGATGGTTGTTTATTGGATTTTATTTTCCAAGATTTATCAAAAAACACACAATTTAATAAATCCTGAGCAGCTAAACTGTGCTGCAATTTTCTCACCTATTTTCAATCCAAAACATGTTTCTTGTTCATTTTTCCTTCTCTTTTTTATACTTAGTAGCATGTCTTGCAGGTTGATTTTAGTAGATTTTTCTAGAGTAGAGTTAATGATGGAACACCAGCTACATTAATTTGATCTTTGAAACACCTAAGGAATGGATTAAATAACTTAGCATCCAACATAATTTGAGTGCAATCACAAAATTTGTTATCATAATTCCTTTGAACAGATAAAACAGAAGCTTGAGATTGAATTGGCTGAATCAAGATAGCTTTCCTGTGAATCATATAGGAGGTTGTCATTTCTGAACCAACCCCCTTAAATTGATAGAGATCCTGACTCTCTATTACTTGAGCTTGGCATTGTCTGTGACTAACTCCTTCAGAGAGTCAGTGCAGACTGACATCCCATTAGCCCTGCTGAACAAGAGGGACTTGATCAAGCTAGCTTTCTCTTACCTTCAAAACCTTACCTAAAATCAAATTGGGGACAGAATGTAGCTTCTATATGCATGTAGGGGGACAGTCTTCAATTTCTTCACAGGGGTTTTATGATCAAAAAGCCAATTTTGAACTACACCCAGGGACAATTTGTGACACAAGGTGTCTCAAGTCCCCTCTGGTTGACACAATGTAAGCAGTGTGAGAAAATGGAGAATGTGACTGAAATAATTAGTAGGGTTATGTTTCATTATTTCACAGATGTATTTTATTTTGGGACTTGGTCAACCAACAGTCCGACTCCCAAAAATTGGAGAGTTGACTCCCAAACCCGGGTTTCCCCAAAATTTGGGAGTTGATTCCCCAAATCCATTCTTGGGTTTGGGAGTTGGCCCCCCAAAAAAATTTAAATAAAAAAAGAAAAACCCCGGAGGGGTTGGGTGTCAATGCCCCAAAACCAAGTGGTTTGGGGGGTTGGTGATCAAAAAAAAAAAAAAAAAAAAAAAAAAAAAACAGCGGCCGGGAGGATTCCTCCCGGCTGCTGAGTGTGCTCTCTTGACGGCCAAGAGAGTTTCTCTCAGCCTTTGAGGGTCTAAAACCTCAACAACCAAGAGGGTTTCTCTGGGTGGTGGAGTGTGTTCACCTATTTGGCCAAGGGAAACTTCTCGGCCGTCAAGGGTGTACCCCTCAAAGGCCAAGTGAAAACTCTTTGCCATCAAGGGTTTACACCTCAACGACCGAGAGGGTTTCCTCTTGGTTTTTGAGAATGTAAACCCTCAATGGCCAAGAGTGT